CGTTTGGCGCTTGTAGCTGATTCTGACATGTTTTAATGATTCTCATAATAATAACATAAATCTAATTCTTGTTGAACTGGTTACTCAATTACTTTTTATAAATTGATTTCAGATGTATTCTCTCGATCGACCACCTGACGAACTGCCATTACACATTGTCTACCGTTTGGGAGTGTAAATATATGTTTTTATAGTAGTTGATGTTTACTTGTTACTAAGTATAAACGAACGCCCCTACAAATGTTTTAAAGTGTTGCAATTGTGATGTATTTTGTGACGGTGGAAAAATACACCGAAACGTATTTTAATTGATAAATAGAGACAATAAATGACTGAAACCCAGGAATTAATTTTGATTTGGAATTGAAACACAGTCAGGAAAGTATGTACAATACTGCTTTAATTGCAAGATTCTGGACATCGCTTTTATACAGTAAAATCGCCAGTAATTTTGTGGGACCCTTTGCTTTGATTTTCTCAACAATTAAGAACGGTTTTCGCCGTTAATATGTCTTTTCAAAAAAAAAAAAAATCATTATCTCGTATAATTTTTAGCAACTAGCCGCAATGGATGGCGGTCATATTTTTTCCCTTTAACAGCGATATTTAACACGAATGGCGGAACATTCATTGGAACACCGCGCAAAAGTTGATAACGCGAGTACTAGAACACGGTTGCCATATCCTTACAAGGTTTAACTAATCCGCCGCTGAATTTCAACGGTGCATACCAGCTGGGTTCTTAAACCGGATAACTTTTAAACGCGTTTAGTTGATCGCGATTATGTAGCTTGGCGGTGCACAAACACCTTGCATATAAAATCACTTATTAGACCCATTTTCATGAGAAACAAGCGAAACGCAGTTTGACGAAACTAAGTTTATGTTAAACGCCGAAATTAAACGCGTTTAACGACGGACCGTTTTCACCAGCGCTTCGGTACGTTTCACAAACTGCGTTTACTGAAACGCAGTTTAAGAAACTGGAAACACTGGCATCGTTGCAAAAGTGAGAAAAATTACAATTCTCATGGCAAAATCATCTTATCACGGAACCATTTGGGTCCATGACGTCAATAACCCGTTATCAAATCCAAACTTTCTGCTCGAACTAACCGTAAAATTTGAAAGTTTGCTTTGTTTATACACGGTTTGTGCATTCGTGTATGGCTTATACCTGGTATACACGTTTTTATTCGATTTTCTATTTGAAAAGTTACTTAAACAAGTAGAAAATTAAGTCCTGCGGACGTCCTTTCAGATCCTTATAAAATTCATTGAATAAACCAGGCAAGCGGAGGAGTCAGGAAGGATTTTACTGGGTAAACATCTTGGTTGGAATCTCACAAACCCAGAACGCTAGAAAACCAGCTCTATCGCGGAGCTCACCCCATGTACAATTGGATGTGATGTAGTTGTGCTGAAACCCTTAAAATCTCTAGCAGAAGTTTGCATGCATTCTGTGACATAAAACCGCAAAGCACCGCGAAGTTGGTTTATCGGCGACACAATTACAGACAGGACAAAGTACATAAGTAACAATAAAATATTCGGACTTCTTCGAAAATTAAGTTATAAACTGGCCTACGTGCCATTTCTAATTTATTATTTTTCGGTCGACCGACAACAACAACAATTCTTTACACAGTGAGGTTAGATCAAGTCTTTAAACGGCGTTTAAAGCTGTAAACGCCCCAAATCGACCAGTTCGTTTCTTTAAACGCGTTTAAGCACAAACTAAGTTTAAGGTTCTGTTAAAATTCGTTCCGCGCGTCAAACTGAGTTTCACGGCCATTTGCACCAGTCTTCCTTAAAACTTATTCTTAGCTAGGGATAACTTTGGATTAAGGTTAACTCTAACTACAGACAGCTTTGCACAGCTGTCAATTAAGTGATACTTAGCTAAGATGAAGTTTTACCTGGCAACATTGCTAAAAGTGACAAATTGCCGTTTGCTCCCGCCTTTTCTTTCCAAAATAACCTTTATCTTAGAACTGAATGCGAGTTTGCCGTTACTGTTTACGTCGCAAATGTAATTAATTCATAATATATTATTAAAGATGGAGTCATTTGAAAATAAAAAACGGACTACATTTTTCCTATAAGGAAAAACCTTAGACTCCCAGTTGGAAGCGAACAATGCTATGTTATGAAGAGGAACTTCAAAACATCTTAGCCAAAAGAGAGCAGGACAAAATCATGTTCGAGTTTCAGTAGAAAAAGTTAAAATTGGAATACTTAAAAAAGACTTAAGCAAATAATGCTATTTTCCATTTGTTTTATTAATGTATCATAAGTTATTTCAATTTAATAATGAACTTTAACTTAGTAATATTGGTCCTTTATCAAAAGCATTACTTTCAATTCAATTCATCGCTATTAATCAATGAATCTAAAATAGGATCAGTTAAGGCCCATTTTCATCAGAAACAAGCGAAACGCAGTTTGACGAAACTAAGTTTATGTTAAACGACGAAATTAAACGCGTTTAACGACGGACCGTGTTTTCACCAGCGCTTCGGTACGTTCCACAAACTGCGTTTATTGAAGAGTAATTTAAGCAACTGGAAACACTGGCATCGTTGCAAAAGTGAGAAATATTACGATTCTCATCGCAAAATCATCTTATCAAGGAACCATACAACAAGGCAAGGAACCATTTGGGTCCATGACGTCAACAACCCGTTATCAAACCCAAACTTTCTGCTCGAACTAACCGTAAAATTTTAGTTTGCTTTTTTATGCACGGTTTGTGCATTCGTGCATGGCTTATGACGGGTATACACGTTTTTATTAGATTTTCTATTTGAAAAGTTACTTAAACAAGTAGAAAATTAAGTCCTGCGGACGCCCTTTCAGATCCTTATAAAATTCATTGAATAAACAAGGCAAGCGGAGGAGTCAGGAAGGATTTTACTGGGTAAACATCTTGGCTGGAATCTCACAAAACCCAGAACGCTAGAAAACCAGCTCTATCGCGGAGCTCACCCCATGTACAATTGGATGTGATGTAATTGTGCTGAAACTCTTAAAATCTCTAGCAGAAATTTGCATGCATTCTGTGACATAAAACCGCAAAGCACCGTGAAATTGGCTTATCGGCGACACAATTAAGTAACATTAAAATATTCGTAGACTTCTTCGAAAATTAAGTTATAAACTGGCCTACGTGCCATTTCTATTTTATTATTTTTCGGTCCACCGACAACAACAATTCTTTACACAGTGAGGTTAGATCAAGTCTTTAAACGGCGTTTAAAGCTATAAACGCCCAAAATCGGCCAGTTCGTTTCTTTAAACGCGTTTAAGCACAAACTAAGTTTAAGGTTCTGGTGAAATCCGTTTCGCGCGTCAAACTGAGTTTCAGACGTTAAACTGGTTTAAGATCGCTTGATGAAAATGGGCCTAAGAGATTTCGCGCAGGTTACCCTTGATCTTGAATATTTGACGGAATTTCGTTTGTCGAATCAGGTAACAGCTGGAAGTTATGTATGCTTTTCGTTAACATTTATTTCATCTCTGTAGTTCTATAAACTTTTCATTAACATCCAGCTGTGATATGAGATCCATAAGAGATAAGCACATTCTTGTTTATCAAATTTAAGTTGATTTTCCATAATCAGGTTAGGAAGTGAAGCTGAGCAGTTCTCTGATAACATTCATGTAATAAGTGCATGCTTATTAAGCTACGGAAACGGACCTTGACTATCGGAACGTGAAATATACAAGGCATCATTCCACGACTAAACTCATAGAAGTTATCAGCGAAATACATGGACATGGACATAATAGCCAAATTATCTGAAAACAAGAAAGAATAATCAAGGTCAATATAAAAATCCTCGGAAAACTAGTAACTATTATTGGTATACAGGGTGATTAAAAATTGGCGTCATTCCTTTTAAGGGGTGATAGAGGCTCCCTTGGGGAGTACGAAAAAAATATTGAAATTTTTTTTT